GGCCTCGGAGGTTCCCTGCCTCCTCGTGCCGCCTGATTGCACGGTCCTTTTTGATCTGGAGGAAGAGGGATCTAGGAAGCTTGGAATTGAGTGTGACAGTGCTACTTTTCACCACAGACGAACCGTTTCATGTCCTCATGCCTCAATTTCTTCGCTAGTAGAGTAAGAAACTCAGACTGGATGATCTTTAAAATCCCTTCTGTCTTTGATGTGCATTTTTATGACCATTTTATATCCTGCGGCCCATTGCCAACAATAAATGCTGGTTTGTGAATGAATTCTAGGTATCATCTCCTTCCTGTCTCCCCTCCTGGGCAGAGTCTGCCTGGTTTGGCCCAGCTGCGATGACAGGGCTTCTAGCACTACTTCTGGGAGAGACAGGTGTATTACTTGAGAAGCAGAAGCAATCAGGTTCTATTTCTGAGGAATATCAAAGTTTACATTTGTATTTATTTATTTATTTATTTATTTATTTATTTATAAGTTTTTTAATGTTTATTTTTGAGAGAGAGAGAGAGCACGAGCAGCCGGGGGTGCAGAGAGAGAGAGGGAGACACAGAATCCGAAGCAGGCTCCAGGCTCTGAGCTTGTCAGCACAGAGCGCGACGTGGGGGCTCTAACTCACAAACCATGAGATCATGATCTGAGCCGAAGTCAGATGCTCACCCGACCGAGTCTCCCAGTTTAAGTTTTTAAATAGCATGAAGCGATATATAATTAAATTTGGCTAAGACGTTCCCCTGCCCCCAACGTGTTCATATCTCTTCTACCTGGTGGAACGAAACTTTACTTGACTTGCTAGTTTCTCTCATGTCTTTTATTTTCCTTACTCTTAAATATTGGATCGCAAGGTAGATTGTCATGTGTTTGTTTAGTATCCATAGCCCAGCTATGAGTGATTTGGGCAGGGAAGCCATGATTTACATTCTTTCATGCCACCACACAATGAAGCGTCTTACTCATAAGCATTCTCCAAGAGTGTCAGTGCCCCGAGAGCCAGGATTTACCTGTGTGATCACTGCCCTCTCCCTCACTCTGGGAACAGTGCCTGGCACCAGTCATACTCAATTAATATTTATTGAACGAATAGAACATCAGATGAATAGTGGGTACTCGTAAGCGCTTACTGGTTCGCCCTGAGCCATCCTTTGTCTCGCTGCATCCCTTTGACTAACTTGGTGGTACATTTTCCTTGGTACCTCTTTGACAGAGTCCCCCCTTGGCTCTAACTCTGGGTTCCTTTTTGCTCAGTTCTCTGGCTTTCTGTTCTGATCCCTCTATGTGTCCTCCATTGGGAATCCCAGGCATTCTTTGTGGCAGCATGTAGTGCTTTCGTGTCGATGGCTATCAAGTATGTGTCCTCAGCTCTGAACTTGGCTGGAGCTAGGTTCTTACATCTCCAGCTGACGGTGGGCTGATGACCGGGATCATGGAGTATGAGTGCTGGAAGGAACCTTGGCAGTCATGCTCACCTAACTCCTCATGATTCTTCTCTACTCCTGTCACGAGGCAGCCCATTTCATCGTCGTCCAGCCCTGGTGATTGTCCCCCATGCCACTTCTTTCCTTTCATCTGTCGTCTTGTCTAAATTGTTAGCTTCTGGACAGCAGGGGCCATATCTTCTGCAAATCAATTGACATTTGTTTATAAAAAGTGTATATTTGATAATATGAAAAGTTGGAATGTTTGAAGTTAGGTGAGAGGTGCCGTTCCCTAAATAGGTTTGGGGCGTCTCCCCTCCGTTCCGGTTTTGGAATAAGAAAGGCCTGGGCTCAAATTCCAAGTCTACCATTTAGCATCTATGAACCTTTAGGAAAGTTCCTTCTCTGAGTCTTGATTGCTTCATCGATAAGGCAGTGATACTAGCAGTAACTACCTTGCAGGCTTGGAATGTGGATTCGTGAGATACTGTAAATTCAGGGTTCAGTGCAGGGACTGACAAGTATTGGGGGCCCCCCAAAATGGAAGTTGTTATTACCAGTTGGCTGACATTAACACTCAACCTGGGCTCTAGGTCAGCCTCTAAGCAATATGTATGTAGCTCTTGCCCCGTACTTCTCCAACCCCTCCTCACCTCTGACTACAATACTGAAACCCATAATCCTTTGTTCTCTGGGTGAAGGTACGAGGATGGTTTCCCCTTTCAGACAAGTCCATTAATTTCTGCTTCTGAATATGGAACCATGTCAGTGCTGACACAGACACTATGGAAACACAGAGAAGAAGGAAACTAATCTATACGTTTAGTTCGGGCACTGTGCGGAGCCGCGTCACAGTGCCTGCCCTCAAGATGCTTGTAGTCTGGTAGGAAGGAAAGGCCAGGATGTGTGGAGTGAGTAGGAGACGATGTTGGCTTCTTATGACGAAAGGCTGCATTGTGATGGGCACACCCAGTTGAGTGGCCCATTAATAGGGTGTTTAAGAGATTAGGTTCTGGAATCACAAAGACCGGCCCTCTGATCTTGAGTCTGTCACTTTGTGCTTGTGGGACTTGGAGTCAGTTACTTGACCTCTCTGGACCTCAGTTTCCTCATCTAGGTTCTCTGGTGAGGATTAAGTGAGGGCATGCACTGAGGAGTGCTCAGCATAGCCCAGCATCGCTCCCTAAGTGCTACTGTTGTTAGTAGGTGCTTTCTGCTTTGGGAGAAAAGAGCTCACCGAAGCCTCTGCTAATCAGAAGGGGTGAGGCTCAGATAATTGGAGGGGAGAATGCTCTGTAGTTGGAAAACAAACAACAAATGACAAAAACTCACAGAACAACAACGGCATAGAGCCAGGAAAGACTCAGGAATGTCTAACGGCTGTGGGATGTACATCAGGATTGGAACAGAGGAGAGTGATGTGTATGGCACAGTAAGCAGGACCAGCCAAAGGACAGTTGGAGTTGGACAGTTGTTTCCTTGTACCCTCCATTATGCCTCTCACGGCACCCGGTTCAGCAAATGCTTATTATTTGCTACTGAAATTCTTGGTCTAAGTAGGTGGGCGTGTGTCTCTTCTGGCTAATGCACTTCCTAGGCTGATTACCTTCTTGAGTGCTTCCATTCCATTTCCTGGTTCAAAGCCCCATAAACGTCCCTTTTTCCTATTCAGGTCTTGGTCAGCAAATTCTGACGAAACTTATCTGTACTATTTATCATCGAGAAGCTATGAAGCACCTTTCTTCCCAGGCCTTACCCTCCAGACAAGAGCGTCTGCCTCGTTTTGGAGTCACAGAGCTGGACTTCACGGGCTACTGCGTGGCCCGGAGGAAGTTACTCAACCTCCCGTGCTCTATTTCCTCACGTGTGAACTTGGAGTAACGTGCCTCTTAGCAGCCAGTTCCCCCTCTGGTACCTGCTCTGCAATGCTGGCCGGACTGTAAGCAGGTCTCGCTCCTGAGAGCACGATGTTAGATGTCGTCAATAGAGGGTGCTACCTCAGAAGTATGGTCTCGTGAGTGATGGCTTGAAGGGTCCCGGGGTTTCTTTTTGGGTGATAAAAATGTTCCGGATTAAACAGCGAGATGTGGATGCACTGGCAGTCACATAATCGCACACTTGAACGTGGTTAAAATGGCGGGGTTTATGTTGTGTGACTTTTACCTCAATAAAAATAAGTAGGTCTCTGTGAAGACAGGACAAATCTGTGTTAGGGAGGGTTGAGAACAGTCCTTGGAACGTGGTGACTGGTCTGGTACAGCGACTGTAGTTTTGCTTAGTTGTTTAGCGGTCTGTCGCCGGACCTACTCTTCCTTAGACCCTGGCACCTTCTTCTTGGGTGTCAGAGTCTAGCCACCTCGGAGCTGTCTGTGTCTCGGGCTGGCTCTCTCTCACTGGCTTCTCAGGCAGTGGAGTGAATGCCTGCACTCCCGCTTCTCCCGAATCTCTCCAGACAGCTGATGGCGGGGGGCTAGGAGTAGCCGAAGAGGCCGCAACCGCTGCATAGCTGAGGGGAGTCAAGAAAAGGAGGTAACGTTAGACTTTGTGTCCCAGGGCTCTGGGCCCCTGAACCGAAGGTTAATTTTGCCCGACTCTTCTCCCCAAGTCTCCTCTCTGGTCTGTTGCCCTCCGTGTGGTGACTGTGGAGCCCAAGCGTGCAGTCCCCAGCTCCTTCTGGGGAGAGGAGCTGGACCTCCGGTCGGAGGCTCTGGAACATTCTGTAGGTTGGCAGAGGCGGTGTAGGCTCACGGGACAGGGATGCAAGGGAAGGCTTCAGGAACCACATGGTGGGGTTTGAAGAAATCCTGAGGGCTGGTTTGGGGGAGATCTTCCTTTAGAGTAATCACTGATGATGATGATGAGAGACCGGAGAAAGGTGAGGAGGTGTACACGAAGAACTCCATTCCTGCAATTTCCTCCTCTTCCATCTGGGTAACGGTCCCCACCACACCACCGAGCCCGGAAGACTGGTGTTTCCGTTGCATACAGTGTCGTTCCTCCCAGACCCAGGGTTTTTGGGACAACCTGAGTCAGACGTTTTCTGTCCTGATATCCCCATCTTACCCATGCGTGTGCCTGGTCACCTGTCCTGCCAAACCCCTCCCACTACGGCCCCATCTTCAGAGGGTGCTGCTTGCCAGGGGACCGTCACAGAGCAGGTGGGGAGCACACGACAGACGGGGGCTGCCTCCCTGCGGGGCTCGAGTGTCCTCTAATGCTGGGGGCAGGGGACACCAAAAGCACGTGCCTCCTGATCGGCAACTCTGTCACTCTGTTGCCATTTTCCATTGAGCTGACTCGGGAAGGCTCAGGAAAGCAGGCTCAGCGGCCGGCCTTCGGGGCTCACACGTCTGCCCCCTAGCCCCACGGGGTAGCCACAGTCACTGGGTGGCACTGGTTTCAGGGTCCCCGAGCTGTCAGGGTCTCTCTCTGAGGACTCCCCTCAGACACGGTTACCAAACATGTTTTTCGTGTTTATTAACCTGCTCCTCTTCTCACGTTTCCCTGGGCACAGCTGCATTTCTTATCTGATGGGCCTCCTGCCAGCCCCTCGAAGCCTGACAGTTACAAAGGGCGGGCGGATTAGCTGCAAAAGAATATTTATTAGAAAAAAAATCCCTTTTATTCTTCTGTCCTTTTTGTGGAATTAGCCATATATTGCCTGGATGAGATAAGGGCAGCCCTTTGTGAGCGAGGAGCAGAGGTCCGACATCTGGGTTACTGGCAATGCCAAGGTGAGTGATGATTATTCTCCTTGCCTGCTGTGGACCCTTTCTCTCTCTCGACCTCTCTTGGAGGCTCCTGCTCAATTTCACAGCTCAGAGAGGTCTGTGGTGTGGCTGGATTTCTCCAGAAAGAGGATAATCTTTTTGTGAATGGATCTCATGTTTCTTCTAAACTCCAGGGCTGGAGACCAGTAGGGAAGTGATCATCTGGTAATGATCTTTCAACTTAGTAGCTCCACTTGCTGGGGTTTGTTTAATGGGGTTATAGAGAAAAGAGATGTTCCGATGGAAAAATGGAAACAGCAGTGGCTTTCCTTATGCATTCATGGAGAGACTCTGCCACTGAGGGAATTCTTGGTTCCCAAGTAAATCAACTCCTTTGTGGGAAGTTGGCTTTCCTTCTGTCTTTGAGACTTTGGCGGTGGGATTGCGAACTGAAGATGTTTGCATCTGGCTGCTTCAAGCCCGAGGAATGTCCCGATCATGGCACTCAGAGTCCCTGTGAGGTCCCAGAGGACATGTTCTGTGAGGGCACACGCACTTTGTGTAAACTCTGAGAAGATGTCAACTTTCCCGCCCCAACCTGGGAGCCGCTGTGCCAGACCTGCCTGGGCCTGCCTGCCTCTGATGTACTGTGATACAGGGGAGGTAGGTGAGGAGGCCTGGGTGCTGGCCAAGAGAGCGACTTCTGATCTGGTCCTTCTGGTGCCAGTGGTGGTCATCATCTGGTATTCAGCCCAGCCTGGGCTCTTGGGGTCATGGGAAAACCAATGAATCAGGATCTCTAGACCAGGAGCTAGGGTCTCTGAGAATGGAGGGAGAACCATTATCAAAGAAGAAACTACGATAAAGTATTAGAGCCACTGGGGACATTGAAGATGGAGACCCTTGTCACACATATTTCTGGTATATTCTCTATTGTGTGGTCTCCTGGAGGAGAGGCTATGGCTTTTAGAAGAGAGTCTTTCCAAAGAGCTTTGGTGGCATGAACAGAGAACAAGGGTGCTAGGGTCTTGGAGAGATGTAACTGCTCATATCTGGCCCTCTTTTGCTATTTTTTCATGTACTTTTCCTTCCCACTGACCCCTCCTTCCTGGCTTCCTGGCTTCTCTCATCTCTCTTTGCATGGAACACCCCTCGCCTCATAGGTGGGCAACACCGGGCGTAACTCAGAGTAACTCATCCTTTCTTTCCCATCCCAACACTCTCCTCTTGACCCCCTGGTCTTGGATGATGGCACCAACATTCTCTAAGTCACCCAGGATGCACAGCCCTGGTGAGTTTGCTACTTTGCTTGCCCCGCTTTCTACATCCAGTCGGTTTCCAAACTGAGTCTAGTCTACCTGGGTGGTATTGCTTCCACTCATGCCTTTACTTCCCTTCTTACTTGTTGCCCTGGTTTCGATCATTATTTCTCATCTACGTTAATGCACTAGCTGCCCAGTTGGACTTCCAGTGTTTTCCTCTTTCTTCTTAAATTTGCTTTGCACTCTGGGGCTAGATTGCTCTTCCCAAAGGCTCTTATCATGAACTTGCAATATTATACACTGTCACTGGCTCCCCAGTGCCAACCTGAAAATCCTGGAACTATTTAAGAAGGGTGACACTGGGGGTTCTCTAGTCTTCATTTTTGGCCTTATTCTTGTGTGGGGGGGCACTTTAAGCCCTGCGAGGGCAGGGACCTTGTATGTTTCGTCTACTGGTGTATCCCTGTACTCTGCACAGAGCCTACAAATAGCACATAGGCCCTGGCATGCAGCAAGGCCTCAACGATGCTTGTAAACTACTTCCCTACACCCAAAATACTGCTGCCTACCAGGAACCCTCACTGCTCCCAAAGAACAGCCTTCCTTCCCCATCCCCCCCTTCACCATTGCACATACTCTCCCTGGAATGAAGGCGACACAATTTCTGTTTATTCTACTCCTACCCACTTTCCAAGGCCCAGGCCAAATCTCACCTCCTTCAGGAAGCCCTCAATGATTCCTCAGAGAGACGCCATGGCAGTTCTTACTCTCCTGGGGCACTTGGCACTGTTGGCCTTTATTTGAAGACTTCTCATGTCTTTCTTTACTGAGGGTTGAGTTACTTGAGGGCAGGGATCGTTTTTTATTCATCTTTTGAAGCACCTAATACAGTGTCTTCTCCTGGATGTGCTGAGTCAAATGTATTGAATTAATAAATGAATATCCATATCTTATCTGCAAGCCTGTTTGATTTGTAACCACATGGACATACAGCTTTAATGACGAGGAATGACTTGGAGGCCAATTAGCATCCATTTATGCTACTGCTGCTGGGGGTTAATTAACTCTAATAAATGTGCACAAATTAGCATTTGTTGTTTTACAGCAGAAATCACATCAAGGTGAATCCCATGCCAAGCTCTGAAGCAGAGGGTTGTAGACACCTGAGCTGTGCACGGGAGACGCCCTGAAGTTTAACCCATGAGGACCTCCCGCCATTTCCTCAGCTGACTGCTTTCTCGGATCCTTTCAAAGAGGCGTTTCCTAGTGATGGTCAGACAGCAGAAACCCGTCACATCCATGAGCCTGTGCGAATTCCCTTTGCCTGTTTTGTGAAGATCTGGGGAGGGTTGCTATGGTGAACTTAGTGCTTGGGGAGGGAAAGGAGCCCCTGCCTGAGAACGTTCCTGGTCCCCAGTGTCCCTCCCCCTCAGGAAAGTGACATCAGAGAGGAGGAGCTGAGCTTTTACCCCCGCGTGTCACCTCATCTCTCTACGCCTCAGTTTCCTCATTGGATGGTGGCATCTGCTTTATGGGGAGGGGGGTGTTGCAGTGGCATTGCTGAGGATGAAGTGACATAATGAGTGTCATGGTACTTCGAGAACCATGTATTACGCTGTCACTCACTGCATCGACATCGACGGTCCCAAAAGTTGTCGGCTTCTGTTCAGCTGCCTGTGCTGTGAGAGATGAGTGGTGTCTAAGAATTCCTTTGGGAAGGGTTTGACCAGCTCTCTGGGGGGCAGACAGTGTGGGCACTTAATTGAGTCGCCTGGCACACACATGACTCTCTGAGGCTGGCACAGAGAGGACTCTGGAACACATCCCATCAGTCTGGCCCAGTGCTGGATTAGCGAGCGGCCTGTCCTGGGTGTCATTTCAAGTTCTGCTTCAAGTTCTGTGTTGTCTGCGGATCCTTGGCAGCGATACAAGGGCTCTGCTTCTCCAGATCTCCCAGATCAAGCCGCCTCACTTGGGAGTGGCAGGTGGAGGGGGAGCGGAAGATATTTCCAGATCCTGATTTCACAGCAACAGTGACTAGACAGAGAGGCATCCTGTAAAGCCTTCCCGGGCCCGGCACCGCGGCGAGCTGTCAGTAGGGGGAGCTCTGTCACTGTGGTGCCTCCTCTTGCCGCAGCTGGGGTGAGGGTCTGCCTGGGGGTCTGAGGAGGGGCTCTAGGAGGCCAAGGGCGCTGTCTTCGGTAGACAGGTACTGAAAAGCAGCTAGGTCAAGAGTTGTGGGCAGCGAGAGCCCCAGCAGAAAAAGAAGTGGAAATCCACTGTGCCTGGTGCCCAGGGGTTAGAAGGGTGTTTGGGTTAAGCACACAAAGAAAACACACAAATATCCCAACTTAGGGTGTCTTAACGAAGAAGGGCTGGAGGGTGTGGCTTCACTAAGACCGAAGCTGCTAGAATTGCCCTCCCTCCCCGTTCCCTCCCACAGGGCCGCCTGTGGGGACTGGCCACAAGGGGGCCCAACATGGTTCCGGGAGCTCCCGAGTGTGCCCTCTGTGGGTGCCTGGGTCTCTCTGCTCACTGAGCAGCCCTCATGAAGCTGGCCTCGCCCTGGCTTATCAGCTGCACCCAAAGGCAGGAAGGTTCTAAATGAGGCTCCTAGCCTCAGACTGGGAAGAGGGGAAGATAAAGTAAGGGAGGCCTCCTTCCTTCCAGGGCCTGGGGTGGCTTTGAGCCCTTAGGGGGACAGATGTGTGCCTAGGACTCTCCAGGTGGTGGGGGTGAACAGCAGGGACGTCCACCTCCCTCAGAGGGTCTGACGCTCAGATGGACTGGTCTTGCCCCTCTCGCAGGAGGCTACAGCCATTTCTCCATCTCTGTTCTGGGCTACCTGAGACCCTGGGAAGCCCGAGGACAGGACATTAGGTTTGTCATCAGCCTTGCATGTGTGTGAGATGCGACTGTGTGGTATGCGTCTAGATGTTTGACCAGAAGTGGGGCTGGGAACCATTTCTCATGGGCAAGTGGGGAGCAAGCCCGGCTTAAGTGGGGCAGTGTGGCCTCATCCAGAACTGCTCTACCCTTAGTGGTAACTTGTGAGACACGTCTTTGTGACGGCATTAAGATCAAGGTTGAGGGGCTCTGAGAGGCTCTGTTAGGCGTCTGACTTCGGCTCAGGTCACGATCTCACGGTTCATGAGTGCGAGCCCCATGTCAGAGCCTGGAGCCTGCTTCAGATTCTGTCTCCCTGTTCCTCTGCCCCTCCCCCCACTCATTCTCTCTCTCTCTCTCTCTCTCTCTCTCTCTCTCTCCTTCAAACATTAAAAATTAAATTAATTAATTAAGAAAAGATCGAGGTTGAGATTGGGGTGCCAGGGAGGACAGCTGGCTTAGAGGTAGGGGAGGATTTTCTGTACTTTTTTTCTGAAGGTCTCTGGTACTGGAAGGATCTTCTCTGTATCCCTCCTCCTTGGGGTCAGAGACCAGATCTTCTGGCTTGGGGCAGTTTAGGGGGAATCCTACCAGACGGAGGGATCAGAGATTCCCTTTGGGTGAATGGAGAAGGGGCTGTCTTTCTGTTTGTGGTGAAATTTGCAGTGAACCACCAAGCTTCAGAGATGGAGAGAGGCTGATCCCAGCCGCTTCTGTGCCCTGTAGGTCCTGCGCCTTAGCTTTGCAAGCTGAGTGGTCTGGCTCCATTTGACGTGTGGCCTACATGGGAGCCCACAGGGACGTCCCGCCCTTCTGCCCACACAGGTGCAGACCTAAACTTGATCTTTGCAAATCAGTCGGCTATCTCTGCTCACTAGAAGCACAGTAACCTCTTGAACTGTCCAGATTAGAGTTTTTAGATTATGAGGGACCCAACACAAGTTCAAGTCAACACAAGGTGAGAGGGGAGGCCTAAGGACTCTTTCCAATCTCAAGGCCTTTACATATATTGCACTCCTCCCCACCCCCTACCCCCACTGGCATATTCTCCCCTATCCCTAACCCATCCTTTTATCTAGGCAATTCCCACCCATCCTTCAGAGCCCAGCCTAGGTGTGGCTTCCAAAGAAGCCTTCCCAGACTGCCCAGATCAGTCTCAAAGCTCTTGGTCTCATTTGCTACAATTATAAACATTTTGCATCGTGTGACTGATTATTTTCTTCTCCCTCTTGTAGAATGTAAGCTTCATAAGGAGAGCGCTGGGAGTTTCTCTCGTTTACCACCCATCGAGTCCCTGGCAGAAAGTAGATACTCAACAAATAAGAGCCGAATGAGAGAATAAATGGGGTCACCAGGTTGCCAGTGGAATCCCTCCCACCTTCTAGCGGCCAGACTGCTGTCTCGGGCTGTATGGATACCGTTCTGTGTTCTTATCGACTGAGGGGAGAACCACAGCTGGGCTGAAGTTCTCCGCGCAGCTCTTGGGACTTTTGAGTTCTCGTGAGGTGATCACTGGTCTCACTCCTCTTGTTTGATCTCCCCCGGACTCTCTGCTAAGTTAAGGTCCATTCCCTACCACGCCCACTGTCTTCTTTCTCGAGATTCTTAGCTTCTGGTCTTTGTGTGAAACACGTGGCTCTCTCCAACTGAAGCCCAGAAAGCTACATGGTGGGGGGAAGGTTGTGGGCCGTTAGCTCCTGAGCTGCTGCTCCAGAGCCAGAGTCTCTTAGCATGGTCCACCTGCGCTCGATGCAGTTTCATGATGAGATCAAGGAGCAGGTCATCTGGACTGGTTGGGATGGTTTCAGAAGAAGCCTGAATACTTCCTGAAGCAGTCCACCTCTGCTTTTGCAAGTCCTCCGGAACTTTGTACCTTGAGAGCTGGCTCAGAGGCAGCCGAGGAGCCGGCCTGGAGACTCCCCTTTCTCTAGAGAGCGGGACTACAGCTTGCTGGCTGAGCGCACAGAGCCTCAAGGCCGCTCTACCTGTGTGCCCTGCTCATGGTCCGCCCCCAGCCACTCCCTCCCCGGGCCTGTGCTGAATCAGCAGCATCCCCCTTGCTCTCTTGGCAGCGTGCAGCCCGGCTAAGCCAAGTGTGGTTACGATGAGTCGGTTCATCTGGAAGCTCGCATCCTGTACCCTTTTCCAATGTGATGTTCCAGCCAACTGGCACCCGAGAGTAAAGAGAAACCCTGGGAACCGAGGCTGCTGAGGACTTACAGCCTTGCACAAGCCAAGGGCGAGGGCAACATTGAGGGGAAGGTCGCCCCGCTGCCAGGCCTTTCTCTCTACTCCATCTTTGTTCCTGTCTAGCAGCACATGGCCCTGGCTGGCAGTCAGCGATCCGCTGCTGGTACTTGCTGGTGGCTTGGCTATCCTCCATCTAGCCAGGGCATTTGGACCTTTTTTCTAATTCTGCTTATGAGCTCGGGAAGCGAGCCAGTAGTTTCCCTTGGAAATTGCCTCTATTGATGTCATTTTCCATCCTAGTCCCCGGGGGAATCTGTTTCTCTATTTCCTCCACATTGACACTACTCTTGCCCTTGGCTCAAATACAGAAGCCTCAGGTAGCACCAATGCCATGGGGAGGGGAAGGGATGGGGGGGCACATGTAAGGGACGGAGGTCATGGGGCACTTGGGTGGCTCCGTTGGTTAAGTATCCGACTCTTGATCTCAGCTCAGGTTATGATCTTGCGGTTCCTGAGTTTGAGCCCCACATCAGGCTCTGCACGCACAGCACAGAGCCTGCCTTGGATCTTCTGTCTCCCTCTCTCTGCCCCTCCCTGACTCGAGCTTGCACTCTCTCTGTCTCTCAAGAACAAAAAAATGTTAAAAAAAAAAACCTTAAAGATGGAGGCGGTAAAATGTTTACATCTGGTCAAAGTGATAGATGAAGCTTTGAGCCCCCAGGGTGGTAAAGTCACCCAAGGAGGGAGGGAGTCACAGGCTTATTTCTTAGCCCCCGGACTGACTGGCTATGGCTTTTGTCAGGAACTCTCTGGCACATCTGTGAGCACCAGTGTTGACATTGGTTATGGGCTGAATCATACCCCACCCTCCGCCCACACATTCATATGAAATCTTAGCTATCGGTACCTCAGCATAGCTCTGTATTTGGAAATTGAGTCTTTTAAAAGGTAATTAAGGTACAAATGAGGTCATATAGATGAGCCCTAATCCAGTATGACCGGTGTCCTTATAAGTGGAGATGTGGACACAGACAGGCATGGAGAAAAGACCACATGAAGACAGAGGAGAAGGTGGTTGTCTGCAAGACAAGCAGAGCAACCCTGAGAAGATACCAATCTTATCGACATTCCTGTTCTTAGACGCCTACCCCCCAGTGTTGCGGGAAAATAAATTCCCATTGTTTAAACCATACAGTCTGTGGGACTGTGTTACGGCTGCCCTAGCCAACTAACACAGCTTCTTCCAGCAATAACAGAGAAGGTGTGCAGAAGGGCCAAGGGGCTAGTAGATTAGATGATCCCATTTTGACCATTTTCTCTTGGACTCTCGAGATTACTGGTGGTGTGGGGCGCCTGGGTGGCTCCACTGGTTAGGCATCTGACCCTTGATTCCGGCTGAGGTCACGATCTCCTGGTTTGCGAGTTTGAGCCCTGTGTTGGGCTCTGTGCTGGCAGTGGGGAGCCTGGTTGGGATTCTCTCTCTCCCTCTCTGGCTCTCTCGAAATAGACAAACATTTAAAAAAACAAAAATAGGGGCGCCTGGGTGGCGCAGTCGGTTAAGCATCCGACTTCAACCAGGTCACGATCTCGCGGTCCGTGAGTTCGAGCCCCGCGTCAGGCTCTGGGCTGATGGCTCGGAGCCTGGAGCCTGTTTCCGATTCTGTGTCTCCCTCTCTCTCTGCCCCTCCCCCGTTCATGCTCTGTCTCTCTCTGTCCCAAAAATAAATAAACGTTGAAAAAATAAAATAAAATAAAATAAAATAAAAATAAAAAAACAAAAATAAAATAAAATTAAAAAAAAAAAAAGATTGCTGGTGTCCCTCTGTCTTCTCCAGTTCTGCCTTCTTCAGGTAGCCACTAACCTCATCTTGTTTAGGTGGTTAGCCAAGTAACTACCATCACTGGTGGCCAATACATGAAGCGTGTCTCTTCGTCCATTGCTTCCCTTGTGACACAAACTGCAGGATCTCATTGTCACCCAGCATGGCAGGTCCTGTCCACTAGAAGCACACATTCTATGGGGAAGGAAGTCACAAAGGCCATTTGACTGCAGTGGGGCAGGTGCCCTGAGGGTGGTCAGCAGAGGGATGTGGGACTACACAGTAAGACAACCTGAGTTGGCCTGGGGAGGTGACGGAAGGCTTCATGGAGGTGGCGGCTGAGCAGAAAGTCTGTTGCTCTAGGAAGGCAGAGACTTGGTCTTGCTCACTTTCCTTCACCCATGGAACCGGCACAGTGCTTTGCGCATAGTAAGTACTCACCTACTTACTTGTCCCCTGGATGGATGACACTCTCAAAGTCCCTTCCGGCTTTACGATTCTGTGATTCTGTGACCTCCCTGTCACAGATGCTAGAAGGTACTACTGGCAGACAAGTGAAGATGGACACGTACAGGGTTTTGTAGCATGCAGAGTCACTTATGAGCGATTAGACTCGAAGTGGGCGAGGAGAGCGTGATGAACTCCCCTCCTTAGCATTTCTGGGAGAATCCTCAGGCATAACAACGGGAACCCGGCCAGGGCACCTGCCCCACGTGCATGATCAGAGGCGACGCCTCGCTCTCCACAAAGCCAAGGTTGGTCAAGCTCCTCACAGCTGTTTCCCGGAGAGAGGAAAGCCCCTAAGTTCCCAGGCAGTGTAAACTGACCGTGTGTTTATAAAATACGAGCCGCGGCCCACGAACATGAAAAGGCCTCAGATGCACGACGCGGCAGCTGGCGCAGCAGGGATTCGAGACGCCTGGGTGCAGGGAGGAGAGCGTGGGAGAGAGAGTGGTCGCTTGCCAAATCGGCGTGGCTCTCCTTTGGAGAACACCCAAACTGATCTAAAACCGAACTTGAAAAAATAACAAACATACAAGGCTTTTGAAAACAAATTGGGCCCAGACATCTTTTAAGGCTGACGGTTGACCCCTAGATGGACCACCCAGCACCCAAATCAGGGGCAGCGCACGCGCCCTGTCCGAGGATTTCAAGAGCTTAGGCTAAAACACTTTCCGCCCAGCTTTGCAACAGGGAACTTAAAGAGCCTCCTTGGGAGAGGTCAGGACAGCGTGGAGGGCTGTCCCCCTCCCTGTGCAGACAGCGCGCTGCCTTCAGATGAGCTGTTTTGTTTCACGCCCGCCCGAGCTGAGCTCACCTGGGAGATGACCTTGTGACAAGAATACCAAGCTGAGTCCAGATCAGCAAAGAGAGCACAGGAAGAGGAAGAGGAAGAGAGGCAGAGGCGGCCATGCGAAGCGGTGACTGGCAGAAAGCGAGTCAGAACGGCGGGTTAACATCATTTTTAACCCTTCAGGCAGAGTCAGTACAACTCCGACCATCAAGTTTGCCACCAAATTCTGTCCAAACCCTTGGGCTGCACCGGGCTTTGAGTCCCTTCCGGGTTAAGCTAACATATGGTAAACCTGGGCACTCCGGCCCCCTTCAAGAGCTCACGGGGACTAGGGAAATGCGGGGGCCCTGGCTTCCCTGAGAGCCTCCTCTGAGAGAGCTACTGCGGGCCCAGCGAGGCTACTCATCTGGGGGGACACAATAATAATGATGATAAAAATAATAAGGATGACTGTTATTTATTGAGCATTTTATCTGCTCAGATAGATGTTGTGCTAGGCACAACGTCTCATGTAGTCCTACCAAGGATCGTTATTGTTCCCTTTCTACATTTGAGAAAATGAGACCCAGAGAAGTCAAACGGCTTTCTCAAGGTCACCAAGTACATGGTGGGGCCAGAATACAAATCCAGGAGCTCTGACCCTAAAGCCTGTGCTCTTAATGGTCGTCCTGTCCTGCCACGGGGAAGTACCTTCTGTCCCTTCTGGGGGTTCCAGGCTGTACTTGGGGGGAGGTAGAGATACTGAATTAGAGCCCAAGGCTTGCTCTGGATTTACTGCAAGGACCCCAAATTATTCCATGGCACTGGCATGGCTCATAGCTTCTCAGATCTGTTCTTCTGACCTGACCTCAGGAAGCTAGTGTCCTCTGAGGCCTGGGGTATGTATGTGTGGGGACCCCAAGTAAGGGGCACATATTTTCTAGGATTAAATATAATGATATATCCAAGATGGGGCAAGAGAGAGAGAGAGAGAGAGACTCAGTTCTTTCCATCTAGGATCCAGGAAAAGAACTGATGAAAGCTATATAGACTCGATCTATACAACCCCATTCCCCACACCAGGCTACACCATCAGCAATACCCCAGCGATCCCTCCCCCACACCCTTCAGGCCCATCTCTTAACAGCTGGACATTCTAGAGTGCCCAGGATGAAAAGTATCCTGAAGCTTAACGGCAAAGGAGCTGCCACCTTCCAAAAGAGGATCCTTTGGACCTCTGGATCCTCTGTGTGTCCCCCAGCCCTACCCCTTCCCCTACCCTCAGCCCCCTGGGACTGCTACATCTGCCTCTTCCCCTCTGCAACCAGCCAGACTTCATCTTGGAGGCCAGATTTTCTTCCTTGTTTAATGTGGACGTGTCTCGGGAGTCTGTCGGGCTGGTCATTCAGAGAGGCCATTGCTAAGTCCTACGGGACCTTAAGCCATACTCGCCTCCTTTTCGAATACCTGCTATTTTGAACACCAGAGATCCAAAGGAATCCCAAACTCTCTCTCTCTGTCTCACCCCACCTCTTTCTTTTCTCCCACCTCCCTGTCTCCTCCTGCCCTCTGACCTCTGGGACCTAAGGCCAGAAGGACATGATTCTTTTTAAAACAAAGAAGAGATGTCTAATTCTTTTCCCCTCTGTCCTTTCGAGCCCTCTCTGTGCAGTGCTATCTTTTATGCTCACTTTCCCTGATTTCTCAGTGAACTTCAGCATCCTAGTGACTGGTGTGACCAGCGGCCAGCTTATAAGTAAAGGGAGTCTGAAGAGGAGTGGAGGGAAGGCTTCTGTTCTCTCCGGCTGGCAAGACACACAGAGGGTCAGCAACCTGGCCACAGGAACCTGGCCACAGGGTTTTAGCGAGGGGGACTAACTCCGCATTCTGCTCTGCAAGGCGGGGCTCTAGAGGCGTCAGCCTACGTAGGGCATCCTGCGACTGGCATCCCATTTGGGAGCCAGCTGGCACACAGGGCTTGTGCACATCGCCCTTTCCGCTCTTCAGCTGTTTCTCTGAGGATATGTGACTTTCCACTCTCCTGTGTCTCCAAGGCAGGCTGCTCCCTCTTCCCAGGCTCCTGGAAGACTTGCACACTTAGTTCTCCTTTAAGCACCCCCCGCTCCCCCCCCCCCTTAGGGCTGGGGAATGTGGCCTTCACTAGCAACCTCCAGTTGGAGTCTCCCTCTGAGGTGCTGAGTGGAGGGGAGAGGAGCTGCAGGCCCATGCAAATCACTTTTGCCCGGAGACCTTCCACCTTCCGAGAATAAAGGGAAGCGCGGAGGCATTGATCTTGCTCTGTGTTTTTCTCTGCTGCTGCTTTCAAGTGACCCGGATCTCA